ATTTGAAAAGGAATGCTCTGGGTTCACATTTGGACAGGCTGAATTTAAAAACAAAGATAGTTAAGTAGAAATTCTAGCAGGCAGTTGGAAAGAAATCTGTAAAGTATTTTTCAGGATAGTCATACATATAGGAGGTATGGGAGCGAATAAAATCATCTAGAGAGAGGAGGTTGAAGAAACAATCTCCAGGTACAGTAGGAGTCCAGGTAGGAGAGTCGAGAGTCTAGATCTAATAGCAGGAACTGGTCAAGGCAGTGGCTATCAGGAAGATAATTCTGGCTTCTCAGCTTCTGACCTAGATATTAACCTTGTTCATTAGGTAGCTGGGGCTTGGGGTTGATCCTGGGAGGAAGCAAAGGTTGAACTGTACCTCAGGAAACTTATTTGTAGGCCTCTAAAAATTTTTAAACAGATCATAAGGAAGAGTTAGGATGTCCACAATGCAAAACTCACATCTGCTTCAGTGAAAAATATGATTTCAGGACTAAAATACTGGCTCTTTAGAGTTGGAATGAGTTTTGATAATGAACTTTTGATAGGTAATTATATCTGTTAAAAAATAAAAGCTCCCCATGTCTCATTTTCTTTTTCTTTTTCTTTTTTTTTTTTTTTTTTTTTTGAGACGGAGTTTCGCGCTCTTGTTACCCAGGCTGGAGTGCAATGGCGCAATCTCGGCTCACGGCAACCTCCGCCTCCTGGGTTCAGGCAATTCTCCTGCCTCAGCCTCCTGAGTAGCTGGGATTACAGGCATGTGCCACCATGCCCAGCTAATGTTTTTTTGTATTGTTAGTAGAGACGGGGTTTCACCATGTTGACCAGGATGGTCTCGATCTCTTGACCTCATGATCCACCCGCCTCGGCCTCCCAAAGTGCTGGGATTACAGGCTTGAGCCACCACGCCCGGCCCCATGTCTCATTTTCTTACTGTCCTTTAAAAGCTGTTTCAAGGGTTTCTACTCTTAATGTTTCTATTTTCTCGCCTCCCATTGTTTCCTCTGTGCCCTGCACTTGGGCCCTCTTCCTTATGATTCCACTGCAAGCACTGTAAACCCCAAACAACCTCCATCTCGCCACAATCAGGAATAAATTTTTAGTCCTCAAATTATTTGTCACAATTATCATTCACTCCTCCCTGAAGTACTTGCTTCCTTTGGCTTCAGGAATACTGTACTCTCCTGGTATTATTTTTAACCTCCAAATATTCCAGCGTCCAAGTGATTCCTTTCAGTTCTTCAGCTTTAAATAAAACCCACATGCTGCTGACTCCCAAATGCCTGTCTGTAGCTCTGACCTTCCCCAGATCTCCAGAATGATAAATACAACCTAGTATTTCAATATCTTCCTGCAATTCTATTAGGGCATCTCAGCCATCACAAACACACCGGAAACAGAATGCTCCCTCAGACTCGCCCCTTTCCTGGTCTTCCTCTTCTTGGTGACTGCTGCCAGCACTCAGACTTCTGACTGGAAACCTAGGCATGATCACTAACTTTCCTGTTTCCCTCTCAGCATCCTGGGAGTCCTGAGTCTTATTATTCTTGGTCCCGAGAGCTCTTCCTTCACAATACAGCCTGGTGTAGTCACCTGTACCTCCAGCGCTTTCTCACCTGAGGAGCTGCGGTAGCTTCTTCAGTAGCCTCTCCCCTCCCTGCTTCCACTGCTGCCCCAGGATAGTCGGTCTACACAGCAGCCAACTCAGAAATGAACACATAATTCCCTAGTAGCTTCTTTTAAGGCTTATAGCAAATTCCATAGTACTTACCACAACCTGGGCCCTAGAGCATTTGTCCCCACCTTTTTCTTTTCTCTTTTCTTTTTTTTTTTTTTGAGACGCAGTCTCCCTCTTTTGCCCAGGCTGGAGTGCAGTGTTGTGATCTTGGCTTACTGCCACCTCCGCCTCCTGGGTTCAAGCAATTCTTTACCTAAGCCTCATGAGTAGCTGGGATTACAGGAGCCCACCACCACACCCAGCTGATTTTTGTATATTTAATAGAGACGGGGTTTCACCATGTTGGCCAGACTGGTCTTGAACTCCTGACCTCAGGTGATCCACCTGCCTTGGCCTCCCAAAGTGCTGGGATTACAGGCATGAGCCACGGTGCCCGGCCCTGCCTGACTCATATTTTATCATTTCACCGTTTTCCCTCCTCTTACTTTACGCCATCCAGTCTCTCTGCTATTCCTTAGTCAACCATGCTTTTGTGTTTGCTGGTTCGTTTGCCCAGGGAGCTCTTGAGCACTTTGTTCAGATATCCATATGACTTTTCTGCATGTACTTGTTATTTGTCCCTTCATCCCCCTTCCTTCCCTAGCACACACACATGCACACCCATGTGCACACTCCAAGGTATAAGCTCCTTGAAGGCTGGAAACCTGTCTTATTCAATACATTATCTGCATTCCTCAGAACACTACCTGGCCCTTGGTAAGCACTTAATATTTGTGAATGGAAGGGATGTCTCCAGCATATGTAAAGATAAACAAGGAAAAATCGTGGAGTGCTCCTGAAGCTGCATGTAGTTCAGCATACCTAGCAAGAAGCCAGGAGAGGGGGGTGAGGACAGGTGGACAAAGGTCAGATTAGATAGTACTGTATTCACCATGTTAAGGACTCTGGTCTTCAGATGTGAATCATTGAAAATCTGTTGGAGCACTTTAAGGAAGTTTGCAACATAGTAAAATACTGATCTTAGAAAGATTGGTCGGGCATGGTGTCTTACCCCTGTAATCTCAGCACTTTAGAAGGCCAAGGTGAGTGTATTACGAGGTCAGGAGTTCAAGACCAGCCTGACCAACATGGTGAAACTTTGTCTGTACTAAAAATACAAAAATTAACCTGGCATGGTGGCACATGCATATTATCCCAGCAACTCAGGAAGCTAAAACAGGAGAATTGCTTGAACCTGGGAGGTGGAGGTTGCAGTGAGTGAATATCATGCCGCACTCCAGCCTGGGCAGCAGAGCGAGACTCTATCTAAAAAAAAAAGATTATTCTGGCTGCAGCGTGGAGACTGAATTGGTAGAGGACAAAACTAGTTAGGAGATTACAGTAGAAGTAGTAATTCGTGGCAAACAAAATACCACTTAATTACCTGATCCCCATGCTCAGGGCTCTAGCAAAGGTGAGGGGCCTTTCTTTACACTAGGCCTAAGACAGGTTTGTATCGTTGCCTTACAAGCTATAATCCAAGTTGCAGAATCTTGCTTCCTTCTTCCCAGCACATGTATTAAACCTAGAAACAATGGCTGATATACACAGGGAAAAGCACTTCATTTTGCCACTGCCCCCTCCATATATTTGGCCCAAATATGTATTACAATTTGATCACTTAATTTAGCAATGGAAAAGGAACCAGGAAGGTGTTAAGCATAAAGTTAAGAAACTCTGCTTTCCCTTACAGTAAATAGTATAAAGATACGGGGCATGTAAAATTAGTCAAGGAGGATATGTGGAGTGGAAAAAAAAGAAACCAAACCCTAGGGAATACCATTATTTAAAGAAAGAATGGAAGAAGAGTTATCCATGAAGGGAACTAGTAAGTGAACATTAATAAGAAAAGGGGAAAGCAGAATGTATTATGTTTATTAAGCAGAAGTAAGTTGCACAGAGGTGTGAAAGTGACTGTCAAATAGGAATCACAAATACAGTGAGATACAAATGGTCCTTTTAAACAGTTACCTCTACCCCAGGAGAAAATGCCAGGACTATGCGTAACCATTCCCCTGACAGAATTTAGCATTTACTGAATTGTGTTCTTACCCAATTATAGTATTTCTTCAGTTCTTTACTTTTCCACGTTAACCTTGCTTTATCTTATATATTCATACCTGTCTTATTTGTTGATCTTTGACTCTTTTTCAGCCCTCCCATGTAGCCTCTCTTGCTTGATGCATTAATAGTCTGCCTTCCTGGCTTGCAATTCTTGGCTCTAGGCCTACCTTGTGGTACCTCTTGTTGATTAATTCAATAACAGGTTCCTCCTATTTGAACTGGCCCTGGAACCTGTCCAATCTCTGAAATGTGTATGTGTATATATGCATATTTGTATATATATATGAAATACATAAGAATATTTGACATTGTTTAAGTTTAGGAATGTATAAGTAATTAGGGCATATTAACAAAACATACAACTTATATATATAATTGGAGTGCTGTCAAGAGGATCTGTAGGAAAATAGGGCATGCTGCTGATGTTAGAAAAGGAAAGTGAGATATATACATACATAGAAAGATATATAACTACAGTATACATGTGTATATACTACAAAATTAATACATATGTTTAATACTCTGGTAAGTGCTATCATAAGGAGAATGAACTGTGGCTGCTCAGGGTCAAAGGATTGAAAGAGTCCGTTTTTGAACTGAATCTGAACGATATAAAGGAATTTAACATGGGTGAAGGGACTTTCCAGATTAAGAATAATTACACAAAGGCTGGGCGTGGTGGCTCACCCCTGTAATCCCAGCACTTTGGGAAGCCAAGGCAGGTGAATTGCTTGAGGCCCAGAGTTCAAGACCAGCCTGTCCAACATGATGAAACCCCATCTCTACTAAAAATACAAAAATTAGCCAGGCATGATGGTGGGTGCCTGTAATCCCAGTTACTCAGGAGGCTGAGGCACGAGAGTCTCTTAAACCTGGGAGACAGAGGTTGCAGTGAGCCAGGATTGCGTTACTGCACTCCAGCCTGGACAACAGAGTGAGGCTGTCTCAAAAAAAAAAAAAAAAAAAAAAAAAAATTAGGATTCCATCATGGGTTTCGCATCTTGACACCAGCCTTCCTTTCTCAACTCATGCTCCCCTTATAACCCTTTTCTCTGTTCTTCATAAGCCAATTCTTCTGGTCACTTTTATTTTCTCACCCCCTTTAGATGGGTTTGCTTTATTCTTTCCTCACCCTAGTACTTAAATTGCTGTCAATTTAAGTACACATTTAATCTCGGTAGTCAGATGCTATGATATCACATGAAACATCTTCTTTGTTTCCCTCCAGGATTGAAGAGCATTCATAAAACCACAAAGTCAACACAAACACAAGACTGTTCATTTCAGGGACTGATACTGAAAAGATCCAACAGGAATGGACCTTGGAATTTAAAATTGGAAAAGCCTTACATATATGAAAGCAGATTAGAGAAAAAGGACAAAAAGGAAAGTTTTCAGGTAGTTTCAACCACCCACAAAAAAATCCCCACTAGAGAAAGAAGCCATAAAAATAGTGAATTGAGCCAAAACTTCAGCCCAAAGTCAGTGCTTATTAGGCCACAGATACTTCCCAGAGAAGAAACACCACCAAGATGTGAAATACAAGGAAACAGCTTCAAACAGAATTCAGATTTACTTAATCAACCAAAAATTACAGCAGATAAACGCTATAAATGTAGTATGTGTGAAAAAACCTTCATTAACACCTCATCCCTTCGTAAACATGAGAAAAACCATAGTGGAGAGAAATTATTTAAATGTAAAGAATGTTCAAAAGCCTTTAGCCAAAGTTCAGCTCTTATTCAACATCAAATAACGCATACTGGAGAGAAACCCTACATATGTAAAGAATGTGGGAAAGCCTTTACTCTCAGTACATCCCTTTATAAACATCTAAGAACACATACTGTAGAGAAATCCTATAGATGTAAAGAATGTGGTAAATCCTTCAGCCGAAGGTCAGGACTTTTTATACATCAAAAAATTCATGCTGAAGAAAACCCTTATAAATATAATCCAGGTAGGAAGGCATCTAATTGCAACACATCTCTTTCTGGATGTCAAAGAATTCATTCTAGAAAGAAGTCCTACTTATGTAATGAATGTGGCAACACCTTCAAGTCTAGCTCATCCCTTCGTTATCATCAGAGAATTCACACCGGAGAGAAACCTTTTAAATGTAGTGAATGTGGGAGAGCCTTCAGTCAGAGTGCATCTCTTATTCAACATGAAAGAATTCACACTGGAGAAAAGCCCTATAGATGCAATGAATGTGGGAAAGGCTTCACTTCTATTTCACGACTTAATAGACACCGAATAATTCATACTGGAGAGAAGTTTTATAATTGTAACGAATGTGGTAAAGCCTTAAGTTCCCACTCAACGCTTATTATTCATGAGCGAATTCATACTGGAGAGAAACCATGTAAATGTAAAGTATGTGGAAAAGCCTTCAGACAGAGTTCAGCGCTCATTCAACATCAGCGAATGCATACTGGAGAAAGACCCTATAAATGTAATGAGTGTGGGAAAACATTCAGGTGTAACTCATCCCTTAGTAATCACCAGAGAATTCATACCGGAGAGAAACCATATCGATGTGAGGAATGTGGCATGTCTTTTGGCCAAAGTTCAGCTCTTATTCAGCATCGAAGGATTCATACAGGAGAAAAACCCTTTAAATGTAATACATGTGGGAAAACTTTTAGACAAAGCTCATCACGTATTGCACATCAGAGAATTCATACTGGAGAGAAACCCTATGAATGTAATACATGTGGGAAACTTTTCAACCATAGGTCATCTCTTACTAATCATTACAAAATTCATATAGAAGAGGACCCCTAGAGAGTAGATTTGTATGTGAAAGCCTTAAACCAAAGCTCATCAGAGAATACATCCTTGAGAGTGATGTAATAAATGTAATGGATATGAAAAAAACCTATAGTCCTCATTAGGTACTTAATTCCATGGATAAACCTTGACTATGTAATAGCTATGAGGAAAGTGTTTGTGCCTGTCAGACACTTTAAAAAATAACCTGAGATAAAGAGTTTACAATTGGAGACACTGACTTTGGCCATTTTTGAAATGAGTTTGCTTTTTCCGTCTTCCTACAGACGTATATGCTACGTGTCATCACATGATCATCAGAAACATCTAAGTGGGTGGGAGGCGTGCTTTAGAGTTCTCATTAGAAGACCAAACTGGTAATATTTTTATAACATTTTAATAGCATACAAATGAATTGATCAAATTGTACCTTTTTAAAGGACCAAAATAAAAGACAAAAATGAATTATGAACTACCTCTCAGTCTCTGGGGTTTGTCCTTTTCCTACCCTGATGTCAAACTTGTGTGTGGATTTCATTTTTAAAAAATCTGGTCTCTTATTCAAGTAGTTGTGAATTGGGAATTTTCTACTCAACTATGTCTTAACTTGGCTTTGGTTTATTTCTCTGAAGTCATTTATTAGGAAGGTGTACCAGTTATATGCCCTGAACTTATTAAAAGGAAAAATAGGCAATTATTTCAGGTTTAAAGCTACTAAATATGTATTTTTTTAAATTTATAGCAACACATCACAAGAACTTGAAGAAATCAAACACTTGTGGCAAACTCTTGAAAAGGACATGGCTGGAGTCTGAATGTTTATGTCTCCCGCAAATTCCTATGTCCAAATGCTAACCTCCAAGGTGATGGTAATTTGAAGTGGGATGTTTGGGAAGGTGATTAGATTGTAACGGCAGAGCCCTAATTAATGGGATTAGTGCCCTTATCAGGCTCCAAGGGAGCTTGTTCTGCCCTTCAGCCATGTGAGGGCACAGCGATAAGATAAGCTTCTTTGAATCAAGATGGCCATAACCAGTCGGCAAACCTGCTAGCACCTTAAATGGATTTCCCAGCCTCCAGAACTGTAAGAAATGTTTTGTTAGTTCCTAGTATGATGTGGTATTTTGTTATAGCAGCCCACATAAGATGTGAATTGTTTCATAAACTCATTGTGTGACAGGTCCCTTACCAGGTTACTTAAGGGTTTATATCTACTGCTTGATCCCTGAAGGCTGGGCAGTAAGCAAAGGCCATGGTTCCCAGCCAAGGAGCAAGTGTCCCTGAGAACCCAAACATCCCAGACTATCTGAGAACACACCAAGAAAACAGTCCAATCACACACATTAGCCAAAGAGCCAGAAAATTAGCTTAAACGCAGGTTAGAGGTACGAGGTGTTGCAGATTTCCAGAGCTGTCCTGCTGCCATCCAGAAGTGCACTATATGGAAGTCCTAACAAACTCATCTACTCATCAAGCTGGATTTGTCTGAGTCATTCTTTGGTCTCTTGGCTCCTTCCCAGTTTGGCGGGGTTGGGGGCTGGTGGCGGGGAGCGGTGTATGTTGCAGTTCCAAGTTTTTCCTCATAGCAGTAAATATTTCTTAACTTTGGAGCAGGTCCTATAAAAGTTTTAAGACACGTGCTTTTCTTCATGAAGCCATGAATTGGGGGTAAGGGGATAGAGTTGGACTAGCAAATGGGCAAGCAGATTATAATGTGGTTCTTGTTTTAATAGGCAAATAAGTTACGACAATATGTTGCAATATGAGAATATTGTAAAGATATGCACAGGATGAAAAATGACTCATCAAGAGAGTCTGGAGGCATCAAAGAAAGCTTTCCAGGGGCAGTGATGCCTGAGGCATATTTGGGGAGAATAATAGGAAATCCTGAGGGAGAGAGAAACATCCCAATTAAGAGGAAACTGAATGTGCCAAGTCGCAGGTGGACAATAGGGCACATTTGGGAAGCTTAATTAGTAGAGCTAGTGAGCAGAAGGACAAATGTTAAAGCTTGAGTAGAAGGCAGAAGCCAAATCACAAAAGGCCTTATCTGCCAAGCTAAGAAGTTTGGATTTTACGGTAAAATTGGTGGAGTCAAAGATGGTAACCAAGGGAAATTGCAATGAAGGTAAGTGCAGAGGGAGTGAAGAACGCTGAGGCCTGATGATGCCTGATGCCGAGAAATCTGGGCTGTTGAAATTCAAGTAATAGGTAAATGAAGGTCCCAACTCAAGCAGGGACAGCCTTGATGGAGAACAGGAGGCAGATAATTATGTGTTAGAATAAATAAGGCATGGCGTTCACAGGCAAATAGGCGAGAGTGGTGATTGAGAAGAAAGCTGACTCAGGATTGCCAAAAGTCCTATATTTAATGATTTTTATCCGGAATCCTGTATTCACTTTGTTAGGACGCCTTAAATGTGTTCAGGGTTTCTGCCTGCCATTAACGAAACATCAGCACTTAGAGCTACTGTTCTGCTTCAGTAATTGGCACTTAAATCGCTTCCGTGGCAATACAAGCTGGAAATTGTACCTCCACAAATGAAGATCTGAACAATCTCTCATGCTCTCTCCTACATGTTTGACTAAGACAAGGAAGTGAGAATAAAAGTACTTGTTTTCCATATTAAAGAAAGGAAAAGACTGCTCTTTTGGCCAAATTCCCAAGTTGTAAATAGATAATCCCCAATAATTAGATTTTTGGATTGAGTACACATGGTCTGAAAAATCAGTGACAGCCTCACTGCCAGTAGCCATGCTTCTGAAGTCAACTCCGTGACAGCCTCCAGCTTCTGAAAGCCACTTAGTGCTGCTCCTAGACCCCAGCAAGTCCCTCCCTCCAGTGACCATGCTTCTAGAAGTTAGTCAGTTGACAACCATCTTATTCCAGTGACCACACTAACACACTTGAAAATCTGTCAATCCATAAACACCCCTGCTTCTGAAAATCCACCAATCCCAGACACTGAGCTTCTCAAAATTTTGGATAAGGTCAGCTCTGGCTTTCTTCAGGGGTACTGTACCTGCAAACACAGTTCTCCCTTGCAGGCATGCATAAAGTTTGACTTTTTTGTGTCACATATCAAGTTCAATTTATTGTTAGTTTGTAAGTTTGCACCCATTTCAATAGTTCAGCTTCAATTTATTGGCAATTATGCTTCACTCTTGTGAGATGATCAAAATCAGTATTTTCAATTATCGTGATCACTGTAATCTATTTTTTATTTTATATATTGTGTTAAGGATACTTAATATGAGATCTGCCCTATAGTTTATTTTCATTTATGTATATGTGAATCCCAAATGCAAGTATACATTTCATGATTAATTTTCAAAACATTTGGTATCAAATTAGAAAAAAGATGTTTTGAAGCTCTCTCTGCAGTACACAATTGTTCATTCAGTACACAGCATATTGGAAAGTTAGATATAAGCCAGGATATACTAACAGCAAAGCCTAAGAGATATATGATTTCCTCAACTAGTACTTAAAAAAGGGATAAGTAACAAATTTTCCAATTAAAGGAAATTCAGATGAAAATCAACCAACCATAGCAGAAATTATAACGACCTTCCACACTGTATATCAGCATCATCAATCTTTTCAGCTCAAATGACCAATTGAACACACCAAAAATTATTTCCTGGCTCTAAGATTGCAGATGAATTTTCAAGTGTCAGAATAAAATCTGCAGTAATAAAAATGTAATCTTAGCCGGGCGCGGTGGCTCAAGCCTGTAATCCCAGCACTTTGGGAGGCCGAGGCGGGTGGATCACGAGGTCAAGAGATCGAGACCATCCTGGTCAACATGGTGAAACCCCATCTCTACTAAAAATACAAAAAAAAAACTTAGCTGGGCATGGTGGCGCGTGCCTGTAATCCCAGCTACTCAGGAGGCTGAGGCAGGAGAATTGCCTGAACCCAGGAGGCGGAGGTTGCGGTGAGCCGAGATCGCGCCATTGCACTCCAGCCTGGGTAACAAGAGCGAAACTCCGTCTCAAAAAAAAAAAAAAAAAGTAATCTTTCTGTTTACTATTAAAGATTATTAAGATGTAAAATGGCTCTTTTTACAATATAACCCCATATGCAAACAATCACAGTGAATTTTTGCATCTGGGATTATATTGTAAAAAGGCATTTTAGATTTTTTTTTTTTTTTTTGGCCTGTGCAGTGTTTTGCTTTTGAAAAATTGTGCTTATAAAGCTATCTTATCCCTTCTAGATGAGACCTGGGAAACTATGAATTTTTTTGCAGAAACAATTGAGTTAATAAGTCAGATTGTATTCCTTTGGTTGATATAATCCAAATTTATGTAGATGTGTAGAAGTGCAAACAATTTTTATTCAAGATTAAAGCCAAGCCTGGAGTACTCCATGGAAGGTGTCCTGCCCATATTCTGCATTTCTGCATGATGCTACACAGACAGCATCTGATAGCCGTTCTATTGACACTGAAGTCATCATGAAATTGTTCCCTTCCTCAGCATTTAAAGTGTTTAAACTGAGCAGTGAAAATATTTTTGTGATTTTGTTGTCATTCCATAATCTTTAATTCTCTCTTTAATTCTCTAGCACTCAGAAACTTGTTGGAATTCCCCGTTTCAACTACAACATGTAAACAGCCTGGAAGTCATCACCCCAATCCTTACAAGAAAAAGCTGGTCAAGCTGAAAATCAGTGACTTCTATCTTTCTGAGAAGTCACGAAAGTGAAATCTGGAGAGACGGGCGTATCCAGAGACACAGCTGAGATCTGTTTACTTAGAGCATACTGGAGCCATAAACTGGTAGGAAAACTAACAGGTAATTTTGCCGAATTGCTGGAGGCTGAATATGGACTACTGAGAATGAGAAACTTCTGGGGGCCATAGTCATAATGGGTCCAGCATACCGCCATTGCCACTAGCTCCAGGAATCCCAACAGATTCACAAGGCGATGATCTGAGAAACACCCACTAAGGGCTGTGGCAGAAGAAGGGGAATCATTGTGCAATACACCCAGAGTGTTCTCCATAAAAGCCTACACTCTAGGGAAAAGAGTTTGCCGGAGTCTTATGCTAGCTGGAGGAAGGACATTCCCCCACTCTCTCTAACCTTCCTGTCTCACCTCAGGGATAGGAAACTTTGTCAGCATGGGTCAAGACTTCGAGGATTTTAGTAGACTGGAATGCTGTAACTGGTGGGGGGAGGACAGGGCAAGGAGGCAAACTGATACCACTGGAGAAACACTTGAGTAGGTCCCAGCGCCTGGACACAGGCCCACTGACAGAGGTAACTGGAAGATCATAAAATGCACCTGCCCTGCCACCATCCCAACAGAGCTGCAGTGCAACAGTGCTGGGTGACAACAGACAGAGCCACAGACTGTCCTGAGGCGAGCGTTTGGGGAAACTCAAAATCACAAGTGGAGACAAAAGCAAGGACACTAGTGGAATTTGAAGGCCCTGGCACCTATGGATGGGCAATTTCTAGCCAAATTAATATAAATATAGCAGCATATTAAAATGATGACACATCATGAACAAGTGGCATTTATCCC